ATTAGATATGCTTGATTAAACCTTCATGCAATCTGAACATGATTTAATGTGAGCTTCAGGGGCTAAACAACTTCCCTGTAATTGTTGATTCTCCAGGATACAATGTACAGAGAAAGAACAGCAAGAGACCTTACCTGCTCTACTGTTAGAGTCCACTGAAAACTAATTCCAATTATCATTGCTTCCCTCCCTGCTACCTTGGCTCCATGCCCTTCAGCCAACACTTGATATTTATTTAGGCTGTGAACTGGTACAGAAACTGTATTTTGTATTCATAAAGCATTTCATGAGAAGGTGCTAGTCTTTCACAAATAATTTGACATAATAGAACTATAAAAATAAGGTACCTTCACACAATGGAGGGTCTGGATACCATCCAAAATAATAACATTGAATTAAGTCAAATTCACTGACAGAATAATTTTCCTCACAGAAAAAGTGAACTACATCTCCCTCTTCATAGATTTTCTTCACAGGATAGAAACTTCCATGTGCTATTGCACTCAAAGGAGAGCAAGTTATTTCTAGGAATAAAAAACACAGCAGTGAAAACCAGTTGGCAGGGTGGGGAAACCTTCCTCAACAGCTTATAAAATAAGCCTTTTTGGAAATTCTCGTTCATTTGTAGAATAAATTTTCCAGCGCATTACATACTTGTGCAGTATGGAGTATGGGACCACCCATGTGTTAGACACACTGCTGCTTCTGTAGTGTTTCCTCCCGCAGTATGGTATCCCTCATCGCATTTGTATAACAGTGTTTCATTCAGTTGAAGCTCTCGTTGGGCTGTGAAGTAGCTGCCGTGATTTAAATTGGGTACTTGACATGATTCTTAAATAAATAAAGCATACACACATTAATTGCTTTTCCATTTCAAGTTACTCATCTAAAATTTTCCTTAGATATACCTTAAAAGTGGTTATATCCAAGGCAAAATCTTTGCAAATAATGATTATTTTAAAATGCAGTAGTTTACATAAGCTTTCCAGTCATCATTTGGGAAGGTTTGGATGGCAATGGATTTATTTGAAACAGTGCAATTTCATCTATACCAGTGCCTTCTACATATAATTTTATCTATACGAATTCACAAAACTATCAGTATGTGAAATCTGACTTCTTTCCATAAAATAGAGCTGAGAACCTACATTAGGAGTACTCAGATGATAACCTAATATGGACAGTTTGGCCCTACAGGTACAACAACTGTAGAATTATATACGTATGAGACAGATTATAAAGGAGAAAAATGCAGAATCATACCAAATTTTTTAGTACAGCTTGGATGAGAGGACCATCCTTCTAGCTGACATTGTACTGTATCTTCAGTACCACCGCTTGGAGTATGGTAGCCTGGATTACATTTGTATTGCAGTTTCTCATGTACTTTGAAGTGTATTTCTGTACCGTAAAAAAACCCATTTTCCAAAAGAGGCTTGTTACATTTTTCTAAGTGAAAGAAGACAGCTTGGTTAGAAAGAAAGTATTAATGAATATTTTTCTTCTCTGATAAGCAAAAGAGGGGTTTTAGCTATCTTATCTAATTTTGTTTTCCTGACCTATTGAAGAAACTCTCATCAAACAATACATCAAACCAATTGTAATCACATGGAACATGACAGTCAAAGAATCTAGAGCAAGGGAGACGCTAGAGGATAAACATCTGAGGGGAAACTAATCTATTCATTTTCCAAAAATAAGGAAAGTGGACACTTTTCTTGAAGTTCTTATTTTAAAGGCTTTTACCATACATGTTTTTATATTTATTATTGTAAAAGTATTCCATGTATAAACATATATAGTTTGCATACATAAAGGTTTGATTTCATCTTGTTGTCCTAACCTAAGAATAACCCTCATTAGGCAGTGTCAGTTCCTGTATGTTCCAGGACATCCAGCTAGCAAAGTTTGCTGCTGGAAGGAAGCCATGATGAGATTAATGAAGCTAACTCACTGTAGCATTGTGGCACCGGAGACCATCCTTCTGCTGTACAAGTTATTCTTCCATCTTGAGTCCCAGTTTCAGTGGTATAACCAACCATACAAGAATACGAAAGTTTTTTTTCCTTACGCATAGGGAAATAGTAACTTCTGAAATTATAATAGTACTGGGCAATCTTTCCGTTTTCTATATGTGGCAAACCACAAAGTTTATCTGCAAAAAGATAAATATATTTCTCTCTAAAAATCTCAGCCCAGATATGAACTTTTTTTTGCCTTGATTTAATATCAGTTAGATTGATTCAGGCTTTCAAACAAGGTGAACAAAATTCAGAATACTTACAAGCATGAAGGAGCTTGTAAGACTCACTGAAATTAAGATACATTCAAATGTTCTTTAAGTTAGGAATATCAGCTGTAGAATTAAACTTCCTAACGTATACTGGGCAAAACTGATGCAGGACACATTTATTTGACTCTTTGTTTAGCCCAGAAGATTTAAGCATGAGCACCCTTTGCTGCATAAACATACTGATGCCTGCTCTAAAATCCAGTGGCAACAGTGTCAAGATTAGCTATGCCACAGCTCCTCAATTCAGCAAATGTTATCAGAACAGCATGACAACTGCCAGGAGGCAATATAAAAGAGTTAAACTTGCTGAAGAACAGGAATCTAAGAACAGTCAACAGAAAAGAAAGAAGAAATGGAATTAAGGAAAGAACATATAGAACTGCAATTAGAAAAATCCCAAACCAGTAATAGGAGAAAACCTTTAAAAGAAGTTGTGCTGAATAAAAAAAAAAAAAAAAAAAAAGTACTGCTTTTTGGTTGGGTTTTATGTTTGGACTTCTTATAAAATTATCCTTTCAGTCGCAAAAATGCTCTCCATGGCATTACAAGACAATCTAACTTGAAGAATCATTTTAAAAACTGAATCACCACCTATGAAACTCATTATAAATGGCAGAATTTTCCCACAAATTTGCACTACTGCATTAACCCTACACATAGAACCAAAATAACAAATATTGCTCTTTCACTCAATAATGCCACTAGAATTTACTGCAAATTTAGTTTTTACTAAATAGACAGTGCCAAGATATTTTTGAAATAATTCCTTTCCTCACAGAGGCACTGTATCACCAAATAACTAAATAAAACCTAAGGCTAATTAAGATTTGTAAATAATTAAAAGACAGCAGTGGTAGCTACCTACATACTTTTTGACAAAGTAACAGTGTAATTTCAACTGCTTTGCATGAGGACAAAACTTTAGTGAAGATAAGAGGTAAGGGAGACCTTCCCAACTAATGGAGCTGTACCCTCATATACAGCCCACAGCTTTGTGAACTTGCAGTTCAAAGAGGTATGCAAACTATATAAACCCAGGAAGTTTAAGCAATGTTGCAAATAAGGATAGGAAATGTGGAACCATCCCAGACTATGTTCTGCAGGTGCCATTTAACTTCCACTCTCTTGCTCTGTGGTAAAATGGACACTTCAATCACCAAGTCACTTCAATATATAAAATGTTTTAATAGTACAAAATTTAATTTGTATAAATGCCTCGAAACTGTTCAAATACATTTCTGAATAAAAGCCTGAACCTTTCATTATTACAGCTTTGAAGCCTAGATATGAATCTGTAGCCCTGAGCTACAGTGACAGTGAAATCACGATCATCAGCCATCTCGCAACAAAACTATCTAAAAAGCAGTGTTTACTCTTGGTAAAGATATGAAAGACATTGCACCTAAGTTACCCAGACGACATGTTCTAGATTCAATGTACATTTATTAACAACAGAATTCAGTGTATTTACCTTTTGCAAAGATTTTGCCTGAATACATCACAACTAGGAAAAAAACCCAGCTTTTAAATCTCATCTTCATTACTGTCTCCATCAACAGTTTCCACCATCTGTGAAAACTCCCTAAATGCTACTCTGAAAATCCAGTTAATTATTTACAAAAGGTATTCACTAATATCTTAGTGTCCATAGTGTTTTGTAACAAGTGAAAACACTATTTTCATTTATTTTAGTTCTCCAAATACCCTAACATTAGACTTGCAGAATTATACTTCCATTTGTCATACTTCACATCAGTAAAGAGGACAGAATTTATAATTTTACAGTAAAATCAGGCAACAAGCTTATGGAACAATTTAAACTAATTGAATACTGATTCCCTCTGAACCCTCCGATTTCCAAGTTTAAAGGGCATTCTGTTATCAGATTATTTATCTTGGCTGAAATAAGAGGATAAATAGAAAATTTTCTCCTCCTCCAGCCTATTGCCATATAGTTGGTCAGTTGCATTCTATGTATTATTCATTCTGGAGACTCTTACATTAAGAACATAGCCACTACTATTTATCTGTCTGTTTTGTTGTATACAGCTAGCCCCTTTGAAGTTGCTTTTCAAACAAAAAAATCCCAAACAAAAAAAACTGCACCTCATTTACAATGCATTATCATCTAACTGATCAATGGCTACCAGTTGATTCAGCATTCTTGGGAGGCATAAATCTTTAAATTTGAGGGTGGGAGAGTACAGGTTTTACAGTTTTCATTTTCTTGGCCTTGCTCTAAGAAAATCCAGTTCCAAGGCACAACAGAATTTCAGGGAGATGTTGTGATGAACATCTATCTATTCAGCCAGATGAGATGCATGCTTGTATGTAGTGCTCACTTGATAGGAAGAAAGCACTCACAAATCACCTCCCTTAAACTATCAGGTCAGAATTTCTAAATTTACCCTTACATCCCATTGTTCCATCTTAATCTTGCAGTATTAAAAAAAAAGTAGTAATTAGAAAAAAATATTTTTCCAATCTCACATGATCCCTCAAAACCTTATTAGAAAGTAAATTTGAGTTCTCCCCAAAAAGTAGCCAGTTTTGAAATCTACAGTCTACGCCTCCCTTTCTACCCATAACTCTCCAGATCAGACAAGCCAGCATAACTATCCCACACAATCAACAGTTTTTAATAGTATTCTACAATATTTATTTGTAAGATTCACAGTTATATAATAACAATAGATTACTTCACTAGTGAAATTTCCAGGGCTTATGATTTTATTGTACAATTGCTTTTGCTAGTAGCACAAAATAGGATTTCAAAAGCTGTATACAATACAAAAATGTTACAGAAATGTTAAACTGCAATTTGAAAAAAATATTTTCAAGAGTAGCTTGACACATTTTCTTTCTTTCCAAATCATTTAGCTGTCTACTACATACATGCTGTACAAATACATTTACATTTCAGTAGCAGGCAATGCCAAGTGTATCCATCACCATCAGAATTGCTTGCAGAGGATCCACAATTTCTTGCATGTTATCTTTCCTCAAAACCCAGTCTGGTTTAATTCTGTGAAAATATTAGTGACTTGTCATTCAAATAATGTATTGCCACAGCAAAATCAGCAGACGAATTTTTAAGCTCTTACCTTGAAACTGTTTTTATTCTTAAAGGAGTTACTGGAACAAAGGAAGTTCTACTTAAGAAAGTGCTTGTTTTCTGCTTCACAAGTATTCTCTCTGCATCCATTTTGTGTTTATGAGCTGTAAGTTTATATAGGCTCTGAATGCAATTAACAGCTCTTGGTAGGCTTCGGATTTCCTGAAAAAAGGTGAAAACAGTACACAGGTAATACCACAAGTTCAAAAGCTACTTAACCAATCAAGAAATCTGTTTTATTCAGTGAAAATGGAATGTTTATAATTTAAGCAGAACTTCTACCCAAAAGTACAGTGAAACCATTTTGAAGTCAACACATCTACAAGTAGTCAGTGGTCTAATGCTTTCAAAATACTTAACAACTGGTATGTGACTTGAGATGCCAGAAAATTCAAGCTCTTACAAGTCAGATTTTACTAATTTCTCATTAAAACCAATTTTCATATATGTCTTTGGTATACACCTTCAACAAATGGTACAGAGATACAAACTGGTGTTTGTACCTGTCATCACAGCAATGAAAGAGTAGTGCAGTGGTCAGAAGGGACTGGATAACTTAAGTACTTCTATCTGATGGATAAAAAGCTAATGAATTTATAACATAGAACCCAAACTACCCTAATAACCTTATTAGAGATTCTAGCAATAGGCATGAACAAAGGAAATTTCTTTCAATAATACGCTATATCTCTGTTAAATAGACTATGTCAACACAAAGCCATAGGCAATTATTGTTAGTAACAACTAGCAATATAAAGACCTTAACTTTATCTGAAAAGCAACAGTAAACTTTCAGAAATGGAATAAAAGTTAATGAAGTGGCAACTAAACTATATCTAATGCTAAGCAATTGACAGAAAGTCAAAATCCTGGGGAATGTAGGGATTGCAGTATCATAATGTTGCAAGGATTGCCAGATCAGAACCTCAGTGTCGTCATACTGAATAGCTCTGGGTGACCAGGGCATATAAAGCACAAAATAATGAGCATTTTTTAAATCAGAGTTTAATCATAATTAATATTACAGCCATAGTAGGTATGGTAGAGAGGAAGAAAATAATTACAAATATTCCCAAAACATACAAGAAAAAGCATGTTAAATCAAATTATTAGACCCAAAACACATTTAAGTCTTACCAAAGCTCTTTTTGAGTCCTTTGAAAGGATGGCCAACAGACAACAGGTCTTTGTGAAAATACTTCCTCCTTTCTCTGAAATTTTGTCCCCAGCTTTCCCTCTATACATTTGTAGCAGGTCTAGTAATGTATCTATAGAATTTTCTACTTCATAAACTGCTTGAGTAGTTCTTTCATACTGTTATACAATAAAGAGACAAGAGAGGTTATATAGACAGATCTTTAAAATGTCTTTCAGGTTAGAGGAAAAAGCAAAGTCCATATTCTCCTCTAGATTGAATTTGTAGTTGTTCTGGCATTCAAGTAATAAAAGGCACTTCTGTATGTTACACCATCCTAACAAGTTACAAAAAGCTACACTTTGTGATTCCCCACTTGTTTAGAAACCCGTAGAATCTGATATAATGTTTAAAATATTAGAATAAATTAGACTAAGTTGAGAGAAATTTAAAAGCAAATTTAGCCTCAATGTTTAAAATTTTTTCCTGAAATCAAAAGAATCTAATGTAAATGCCTGTAGGATGGATATAAGACCAAAAACTATGTTTAGCAAATATTTTAAATTTCAAAGTAAAAAACTCTAGAGCAATCGATCTGTAGTCCATAACTGCAGTACTACTACAGTACTGAAGTTGTATACATAAGTATTTATGAAAATAATCAGTTCTGTAAGAAATACAAAATATAAACATAGTCTATTCTATGACATGGATTTGGAGAAGTAGGCTGTCTTCTGGAAATACACATTTTAACCTTAGAAAACCTTCACATCCTAACTACTACTGGTTTTATTTTCTACACAATTTGATGCTTTTCTACAGTTTTATGCAATACTTGAGATACTCTGCAAGGTAATCAAAGTACAATTATTACTTTAAGCCCATGAAATAATTTTCTTTTGCCAAAAGGAAAATTAAATCATAATTATTATGAAGTAGATAACTGGTTTCAAAATAACATAGTTAAAATTCAGAAACTTGTTTTTTATACAAAATTATTACTTTTATTGTTTCAAATGTATTCAGAAATTTTGTGTATAGATACTACAATTAAGTAGTCTACGACTTAGAAACCTATAAAACAAAAAATTAAAGTTACCTTTGAAACGTTAAGTAGAACCTGAACTGAATATCTGATAACATCCATGCATGGAACACTACGGTTACAACTTCGGATCAGAACAAAAATAGTGAAGATTGCTCTGCTCTGGGCCATATTTTCACAACAGAGCGGGGACAGTCTGGTAGCCACCTCTATGATAATTAAATAAGAAAAACATAAAGAAAACTCTGAAGCTTAAGCAATTTAATTCCAAACCAGGGGTTTCTCTTAGCTTTAAAGTAGAAGTGCAAAGAAGCAAAAACCACATTTACTGATTTAAACAAGTATTTCCAAATCAGTAGTTTTAACATTCCAGACTAAAAATTAAGCAGACAAAACAATCCACAGAGAACATATACCTATAGTAAATATAATTGACTTATGTAAAGTACTACCAGGATGGCCAGGAAATTAGAGCAATCATGTAGGATTTCCTTTCTCTGCATAACCATTTTAATATTGTTCTTAAATCAATAATCTAATTTTAGTCTGGAAAAAAAAATTATTTTCTTTTTATACTCTCTAACATATTCACATTTTACAGTCATACAGAGAGCCTAAATACCATTATGAACTCTTCTCAGCTGAAAAATTCCAGTTTCTATCATTCTGGAAATCTATCAGTTATAATAAAACAAAATACTGACCAAGATGCTTTAATGCTGCAAGAATGTAAGAGAGATGTTTATATTTTAGAAGATATTCAATAGCAATTGCAGTTCTGTTGCACAATTTGTTTTCTTCTTTGCTCTTTTCATTAGCCTTTTCTAAACTACGTCTTAAAGCTTTAGTTTTTGCTGTGTCATTATTCTTTCTCCAAGAATATCCTCTCCACAGTGCCTACATAAAAGGAATTTCACAAAGAGAAAAAAGTTATCAACAAGAGACAATAAAACTTCCATGACCATTCCAAATCAATTTTACACAAGTCTGACAAATTATTTAATTATCTTGGTTATTAATTCTTAAGTAATTACCATTCAGTGTTTAATCTTCCAAATACTGGATTTTCAAAACAAAAGACCAAATCAAACATGCATATACACTCTACATACACTCCCACTTACATCACCTCAACTAGTACCTGCTTAGTATTACTTCATGATCTGATGTGTTTGCATTTGATGTCTAAACTGATGCTGACTTGGCTTGCAATTTAACTGATAAATTCACCAACAAAAGTAAACATCTTACCTCTTTCCAAAAACCCATGAGAGTAAAATGAAAAGACAAAAATAAAATTTAAAAAACACATAGTTTTCTTACAAGAGGTATTTACCTGAAATTTAATTATTCCAAATGCAAATTTTCTCCTACGTGTGCAGGCAAGGAATCTTCGTACATTTCGCTGAATTATGGCTGCTGCATCATTTCTGTGATTTAGCCAGCTTCGAATCACACGTTGTAATTGGATGATTCTTTGATAATCTCCTCGAAATCTTTTTTGTTGCATTTTTGCTCGGAACCATCTCTGTTTAAAATTAAAGTACTTTTCTATTAATTTAAGACTTCTCCCTAAATTCCCTTTTTCCCATCCTAAACAAGCATTGATAAAAAACGAAGAATTATTTTAACATGAGCTTTGACAGATACAGGGATTATAAACACCACTAGCACACATATAACCACCATAACACAGCTCTGATTGACCTTGAGGTAGTTGAAATGCAAGGCTGTGAAATGAAATCTTAACTAGGTGCAGTTAGGGAAGCATTCTGTATAGAATAGACCATTTGCAGTTGAAAGGGACCTACAGTGATCTTCTAGTCCAACTGCCTGACCACAAGATAAAGCACATTATTAAGGGCATTTTTCAAATGCCTCTTAAACACTGACAGGCTTGTAGCATCAACCACCCCTCTAGGAAGCCTGTTCCAGTGTTTGACCACCCTTGGTAAATAAATGCTTCCTAATGTCCAGTCTAAACCTCTCCTGGTGCAGCTTTGAACCATTCCCATGCATCCTGTCACTGGATCCCAGGGAGAAGAGATCAGCACCTCCCTCTCCACTTTCTCTCCTCAGGAAGCTGTAGAGGGCAATGAGATTGCCCCCTCAGCCTCCTTTTCTCCACCCAAAGTCCTTAGCTGCTCCTCACAGGATATTCCTTCCAGCCCTTTCACCAGCTTTGTTGCTCTCCTCTGGATGCCTTCAAGGACCTGAACATCCTTCTTAAATTATGGGGCCCAGAACTGCACGCAGTACTCAAGGTGAGGCAGTACCAACGCTGAATACAGCAGGATAATCATCCCTGTTGGCCAACTGGTCATGCTGTGTTTGATGCACCTCAGGATGCCATTTGCCCTCTTGGTTACCAGGGCACAACTGATGACTCGTACCGAGCCTGTTGCTGACCAGCACCCCAGATCCCTGCCTGCAAGGCTGCTCTCCAGCCACTCTCAGTTTATACTCGTGTCTAGCATTACTCCCTTCTAGTTTTCTTTCTCTTGGCTGGCTTTTAAGGAGAACCACCACTCCACTTTTCTCATTTCACCGTTCTGTTTCTTCCCCTCTATATAAAGAGAAGGGAAACAAGGTACTCTATGCCAAATCTAAACAAAAAGTCTTTTCCACTCATTCACTCTTGCCTTAATGGGAAAATAAAACTTCTAGGGAGAGAAAACAGATCTGTATATATGGAGGAGTAGGGCAAAGTTTGCCATAACATCCTTACCTAGAGAACAGCTATGTCAGGGTTCCTGTTTCAGTCTCTCAATTTATCTAATGATTACCTTCTATTATTGGGACTAAATTAACTGTCAGTTTGGAAAACTGAAGATTATTTTTACTATTAGGCAGTGCTGCAATACAGACCTGATTTTTGATCTTGCTTTTAGAGAAGTAAAACATGGTTATACTAAAAACGTTACAACTTAGGCTCTGGTACCACTAGCAGGTTAGAAACATCCAACCAAATAAATCACTGCATCCCAGGGGATTGTTTGTGAAAGGAGATGCTCTTTATGTCATGAGCCTTACAGGTTGTTGTGTCTATCTTTCCTACTTCCAGTCAGATGTAAAGAAAATAAGCTAAAACAGCACTCAGATTGAGGGTCTGAAGGAAACAGACTTTCCCATCCATCTTCAACTTTAAAGTGCTTAAGCCTCCAGAGCCTGATGAGATCCACTCTATTATGCTTAGCTGGGTATAAGCAGCATTATTTAATAAATTATTAGCCTCCATAATTTAGTTTTAGTTTTACATGTTAAAGAACTAAAGTGTCTTAGTGCTACAGCTTAGCTGACAGAAAAGAAATTAGACCATGTTACACAAAATCATTCATCCTTAATTAGACTAACCTGTATTATAAGAACAGAGGAGATGTGGTTTTGTGCAAGTTTTAAGATGCGGTGAATCCTATACACTCTTTGAATTTTAATTGCAGAGATATGATGATATGCAGCTGCTGTAAAATAAAGTAGTCTCTTCTTTTGTTTCTGTTCTGAAATCTGTAGGAGGAAAACAAAAAAAGGAAAATAATTCTTTTCATACTCAGAGGTAGCTGATCATCTACGCAAAGATGATAGTACACAGCAATTTACTATTAGATGTTGAAGAATCACCTCAGAAGTCATTACCTCAAAACTAAAGCCACCTTTCTTCAGTACTAAGTCTGTAATCTAAGCAGTAACACAAAGAAGTGATTGTAAGCACTGACATTAATATGGAGCATCAAACAGTTTCATTGTAAGCATGTGTGTGCAAAAGTATCAATTACAGATAGGCCACAAAGGTCTCGGAAGCTAAAAAAAACCACCCAACAATTAAAACCTATTTCAGTACTAAAGGATTAAGAGAAAAGGGTCAAACTGCATTTTGATCTATTCTAGCCCACATAATACTCAAAAGCAATCAACAAGAATTGAGTTCAACAACAAATGATCAGGTTTTCTTTTTCTTGACAGCCAGAATTAATGTTAAAACAGCTCTAAAGATACTTTACATCAAAGTACAGTCTTAATTTAAGTATACCAACCTTTTTTCTGACTAAATAACCCCTTATAAATGCTTGTAGTTTAATGATAGCTCTTCTAGTTTTGTTGTATTTCATAAATTTAAGCCTGCCTTCCTGCCAAGCCCTCAGATGTTTCTGGATAATTACAGCAGCAGTTTTTTGTTGAAGAAATTTCCTTCTTGCCTTGAAACCTCTGTATGCTTTTTGGATCAAACATGCAGCTTTAAGCTTCTGAAAAAGATTTTAAAGAATGCATTGATAATTAAACTTTTCTTCATTCCTGTCACAGTCAATATAGATTTACATCTTAGGTCTAGATTTCTTTTACATAAGAAAAAAAAAAAAAAGGAAATACAAGCAAACTCATGAAGCACTAGTTTACATAAAAAACAGTTTATATAAAAACACTTTTACAGTTTGGAAGGTCTTTCTTTTACCCTAAATGGGGTCAAAATATGGGCAGTTTACTTAATCTTTTGTAAGCAATAAAGCCAGCAGAAAATTCTATATTTTGTTATCAGTATAGACAAGGGTAATTCAACTGAAAGTGTTCAGAAACAAGAATCAACCTTGTTGCTCAAATATTTTGAAGATTGAATAGTTTTGATTTTAACAATCTTTGTTCTGACCCCACCTTTTTTCTTTTCTATACTTCTGCATAGCACTGACAAAAATCACTCAAATACACTAAAAACTTCTAAACCAACAATGACATAGCAAGAGTACAAGTGAGCACATACCTTTTTTAAAAGTCTAGTAGCCCTGTACTGTCTATATGCCAACTGAATCTTAACTGCAGCATTCTTAGTTGCCAGAAACTGATGTTGAATCATTCGTGCAGTAAGGGTTGCTCTCCATCTTCTCTGAATGGTAATTGCACAGAACTTCATTTTCAAAAACCTAACATGAAAATGCATTGGTTTTTTTACAAAAGTTGAGAACACTTGCATTTTTGAAGTGAGAAAATAGTGATGGTTTACAAAATTAAGATATATATTGTGAAAGCAGAGCTGTTATCAATCAAATCTTGGAACACTATAACAAGGGGATAGCTAGCAATGCTGGCAGAAAGAGTGGTTTAAAATAGAAGATACTTTGTTTTCCCACAGCAGGTACTTCCAGAACTTGCTGCCAAAGGAGTTTGCTGAGGGAGACAGCATTTTAAAAGGCATTAGGCAGACTGACACACAACAGGTCCATAAAAGATTAATAAAGGGAATAGGCAAGGATGTAAATACTAGCATCCATAATCTAACAAGCACAGATGCTGAAGGAGGATCTTAGAAAGTGGTCAGGTTAATGTACTCTCCCTAAACAGCATCTTCTACTGCTACGGGTAGAGGATGCAGTTCTGAATGAGACGAGCTATCAGGCTGATCCAGCAGAGCACTTATTGTAAAACTATCTCACCGCAAAATAAACACAAACTAGTTTAACTATTCCATTATGCTTTATAACAAAATAGCTTTTCATCCTATCAGTTTTATGCTGGAATTTTAACAATATCCACAACAGCCTTCCTATAAAGAAAAATAAGTGGGGGGAAAAAAGAAAAATATAAAAAAAATCAAGGCCTACTCTTTCTAGATCCCCAATATACAAAGTTTAAGTTTGTGAGGTAGCTTCCAGTCCAGAAAATTATTTAAGCATAAGAAAAATCTGGGGCAAAAGAATGATCCCATCTGCATTAACAGGATTATGTACTACATATGTAATAATTATGTACAGGACTAAGCAGTACTATATAATTATATACTAAATGCTTTGAAAAGTAGAGAAATTTATATCAAATTCAGTATTACCGGGTCCGCTGCTGTTTTGTTTTGAAGTGACTCTGAATAACACGTATAGCTTTTAACATAGATGCATACTCCTTTCGTGCTCTGCAGCCTCGAAACCAGGCTTGAATTACTTGTGCTGCTCTGATTCTGTTAACCCGCTGCCTGGCTTTGTATCCTCTGTATGATGTCTATTAAATATATAAAAAGAAAATAAAACAAATTCAAAACTTGATTTGTTTTGTTTAAGAGAACAAACAAAATTCAAAGGAAAAAAGTGACATTATCATGAACGACTTTTAGGATTCCAGTCTCTACAGTATTGCAAATATCTAATTTCTCACATCTAGAAAATATTTTCTAAAGCAAGTGAAACACATTCAGGGAAATACCACAAATGTCACTCTCTTTAATGTCTACAAAAACAATTATGCCCTGAAAAATCAAATACAAGAGAGATAAAGGAAAAAAAAAACCACAAAAAACAAACCACACCAACAAAAAACACCTTCTGGAATTACCTGAATTCTAATGGCAGCTCTTTTCATTTGATGGTATCTTTGCTGTTCAATATTTCGCATCTGATGGGCTCTGTAGTGCTGCTGTATTAATACAGCAGAAAACTTGCACTGAAGGTATTTCTGTCTCTGAATAAATCCACGGAAAAAAGCCTTAAAAGAAAAAGACATAATCTTGGAGTATTTCACCATTGGCATGGTACAGACTGGGAAGATGTTTGCATATTTTTAAGTACAGGTGTACTTATGGGCTTGTTAGCAAAACAATATAAGTAAATATATTTCTGATCTCCCAATTATTTTTTTTTTTTACCTTTTAAGCAAACTAACCATACTTATGTTGTTCAGGATATACAAGTTAAACATTCAGAAAATAACCCAGATGCTGTCACTTCCCCCGAAAAGATTTCTTATCTGTTAAATAGAGCATATGCTCTCCAACAAGATAGTAATAGTAGCCAAAGAAATTATGAGAGATTATTTATTTCCCTTTCTTCCCTGATATGGAGGAAAAAAGATCCTTTCATTCTAATAATACCTTGAAGAGAACCCCTTCCCTTAGGGTAAAATAACAAAGGCCACCACAGAAAGTCACTTAAAGCTTTTCCCAGAAGATAAAAAAAAGTCTACTCCCACTACATACAAATCATAATTAATATAGAGAAGGAAATATACCTTCCTCCCTCATCTCCCAAAAAAACCCCCTGAAAAAGCATGTCAAAGTAAGTAGTCTAAGCTTCCTTGAACTGGCACTAGATAGACATTTAGCTTGATACATGGAGATGAAGAATAATTCTCATTCTTTCTTGCTGACCACACTTTTATGGCATCAGTGACAGAAGAAACACATCAAACTAAATAATTACCACTTCCTTGAGTACCTCTGAGAAATCAGATACACTTTCACACTAAGTTTCATGTGGTGTCACTCAAAGTACCAACTGAAAGATACAATAAGAATGCAATCTCTTTCCTTACATTCCTCTTCAAAATGTTAGCTAGACACTCAAATTAGTCTAGGGCCATTTAATAAATCTAAAAGAAATAACATGATTGATTTATGTCTTCCTGAGTTTTAAAGAATGCAGCAGTCATGCCTTTTTTGCCATTTACTTCACTTTGTATTCAATACTAGTGCCCACTCCATGTCAAGACAGCTTTCATTCACAATCCAATCAAACAAACCATTTATTAAGTTACTAATTAATATTTATGTAGGTGAAAGCCAGTTAGGACAAAATATTCTTAAAAGAAACACAGACACACACGCACACACACACACACACACACACAAGTATCAGAACTCATCTGAAGCAGTAACTCTAGGGGGAGAAACAAGCAAAAGGGAATGTTACTTTTCAAGATGAGCACCTCAGCAAGGAAAGACAAAACAGAGCTGAACTGAGACTCATTTCTGTGCACTGTGGTAGTAAGCTTTATACAACTGACATGTGATATACTTCAGAAACTGATGTTAACATATAGCTTTAAACTGCTGTTTGCAAGAGCAGTAATCTTAAAAACTCAAAAAAGAAAAAAAAAACATCCACACTTAAACCCCACAACTATGCATTCAAAAGTACCTGAATTTTTATTGTGCTTTCTTTAATTCTGTGAAACCTCTTCTTTTCAAGGAATCCTCTGATTCTAGCCTGCACAATGATAATGTTCCTTCGGGTCTGTAAGTAAGTCATTCTTTGGTATTTCACAGTCAAGTGGGATCGGTAGCATCGTTGTAAGACAATTGCTGCTTTTTTATAGCTTGTATACTGTGATTTAGTTTTATGCATTAAGTAATAGGCTTGTAATGTAATAGCTGCTGTTCTAAGTTGAATAAATTTTCTACGCTGTACAGCCATCTGAAGAAAAGACTGAATCTTGCTTGCAGCTTGTATTTGTCTTGCTATTTTTCTTGCTTTCATACCACGGAAGGCAGACTGAATAATTACTGTTGCTTGTCTTTGAGCAGAATACTGTGCTTTCTGTAAACGAGCCTTGCGACATGCTCTGTACCACCTCTGAATAGCAACTGCTGAACTCTGAATCAATTTATAGCGCATCCGTGTTCTTTGGCATCGGAACATAGACTGGATCTTTATTGCTGCTGCTTTCTTTGCAAGAAAACGCCTCCTCTCTACTCGCATCCGTAAGAATGACTGTATGCACCGTGCAGCAACATTGGTTTTATACAGCTGCCTAGCTTTTTTAGCACGAAAAGAGGATTGAAGGCAAATGACAGCCTTTTTTATTTTTGCATAGTTTTCCATGTCAGCTTCTTTCACCATTTTGGCTCTGAACCTTTGCTGTGTAACTCTGACAGCCCAGCACAACTGTTTGTAATATCTACGTTGTACGTACATGTGATAACTAGACTGTATTACAATTGCTGAAACATGCATGATTTTCAGTCTCTGTCGTTCCTTCATGCCTCTATATGATGCTTGTATAACAAGAGCAGAATTCTTTATTGTCAGATATTTCTTTCGTTGAATTTTTGCTAGTTTTGTTGCTCTGTATTTTCTCTGAATTACAGTAGCAGCTGTCTTAATGGAAAGAAAATGTTTTCTTCTGAGAAAGGTTCTAAATCTTCTTTGAATAAGCTCAGCTGATTCACTCATAGTTCTTATAAGTCGTCTTGTTTTCATACCACGGAATGCAGCCTGAATTCGAAGTGCAGCGCTTTTCATAATTATATAGTTGTGAACTTGTGTATTTCGTTCCTTACAAGCACGGTACCACAGCTGAATCCGCCTAGTTGCAAACAACAGTTTTCTGAAATCCCTTTGTTGTTTGTGCATTCGATAATAAGACTGTATCACTGCTGCTGACTGATGCATAGTTTTTAAGTCCTGTCGGACCTTCATGCCTCTACAAGCAGCCTGAAGGATGACAGTAGACTTCTTCAGTTCCAAGTACTTTTTACGTTGTACTTTGCCTAAACAGAAGGCTCTATATTGTCTTTGAATTATAATTGCTGCCATTCTCATTGCCTGATATTTTATGTTCATGCAATGCATCTTAAACGTGGCTTGGATACAAATAGCTGCTTGATGCATACAGTGAACTTGCCGTCTAACTCGTACACCTCTATAAATTGCCTGCACTTTGACTGTGGCTTGTTTTAAAGACAAATATTTCTGGTTTTGACATCTAGCATGAACAATTGCACGATAATGCCTTTGAACTACTATCACTGCAGATCTAAGTCTTTTATAGTCTTTTTTGGCCAGGTAAGATTTGAAGGCAGCTTGTATTGTTGTAGCAGCTTTGTTTAGTTTGTTCAACTGTTTCCTCACAGTCATCCCACGGTAAGCAGACTGCAAGACTAACACAGCTGCCTTAGTCTTTAGATAAATTGCACGTTGTTTTTTTTTCATAAAATATGCTCTGAAGCATTTCTGAATCACTAGAGTGGCTTGTCTTAGTTTCTTATATTTTAGTTGATGTACATGCATTCTGTAATAGGACTGAATAATTGTTGCAAGATCATGTTTCTTTCTAATTGTTTTTCTCACAGTTTTCCCCCTCCATATTGCCTGAAGACACACTACAGAGTTACGCAGCTGAATATATTCTTGCCGTTGTTTCTGGCCTATAACACTAGCTCTGTAATGTTTTTGGATAGTTAGCACAGCGCAGTTCATAAGTCTGAATTTTTTCAGAGCTATGAATTTTCTGAAGGCAGACTGTATCTTAGTAGCAGCAACACATTGTCTTCGAATCTGCTTTCGTACCTTCCAGCCACGAAAAGCTGCTTGTAAAGAAAGCACTGCCGCTCTTGTCATTAAGTAGTTCAGTCTTTGCCTGTTACCAGTCTTATAAGTTCTGTACCACCTCTGAATCACAATGGAGGCCTGAAACATTGCCTTATATTTCATTCTTGCAGCATGAGCTCTAAAAGCAGTCTGAATTTTAACAGCAGCTCTATATTCAAGTTTAAGTTTTTTACGTGCTTTATAACCCCTGTAGGCTGCCTGTAAGCACACGGCTGCTTTTCTAACTTGCAAGAACTCCTGCCTCTGACACAGTTGATTTTTGTATGCACGATAATGTTTTTGAATGACAATGGCAGCACTATAGATGATTAAATAACGTTTTCTGTCCCTTCTCATTCTGTAGCGTGCCTGGAGAAATACTGCCATCTCTCTCCACCTTTGTATTTGTTTCCTGATAAGATAGCCTCGAACTACAGCTTGAATTCTTATGCAAGCTTCCTTCAACTTTCTATAATCTTCTTTAAGTTGAAAAGCAGATCTGTGAGACCGATACCTTCTCTGGACATAAAGTGTTGCCTCCTTTAATGCACAATAATGCTTATGTGCTTGCTTCATCTTTACAAAAGATTGAATCTTCACTGTTGCATCCTTCAAGTTTTTAAATCTCTTCCGGACAATATAAGCACGGTAACTTGACTGAATTTTTATCACAGATCTCAATATGAGAGCCTTCTTCCTGGCTTCCATTCCTCTGTAGGCAGACTGAAGGACAATAGCAGCCAGACGCATCCTCTGGAAAGAAGCAGCTGCTTTTTTAGAAGCGACATGTGCCCTATATAAAGTCTGAATTACAGAAGCAGCATTTTTAATCTCTTTGTATCTTTTTTGTTGTTGATATCTTCTCACATGAGACTGTAATGCAATAACAGATTTTTTTAACTGTAGATATCTTAGTTTCTCTTTTTTCATTCTCCACAGTGATTGAACAACACAAACTGCTTTTGTTTTTCTGTGTAGTTCACGTGCCTTCATGCCTCTAAAAGCAGCCTGGAGAACTATCACTGCTGCATGCTTTCGCAAATAGTACTCTCTTTCAATTTTTCCTAGTTTATAAGCTCTGTAATACTGCTGAATTGTCACTATTTTTGCCCTGTGTTCCTGGTAAACACGTCTAGCAAGCTGACATCTGTACCAAGCCTGAATCTTGATAACACTGCCCTTAATACATCGATACTGCTTCAGATCTCTGTGCATCCTATACCAAGACTGTATGACAAGGGCAGCCCTCTTTCTTTTAGCCAGTTTTGAAGATTGCCATTTTCGGAAGTAAGCCTGAAGCACTAAAGTTGCTTTAATTTTCTGTTGAATTTTGTATTTCCTCCATCTTCTGAACGCAGACTGAATAGTAAGTGCTGAAGACTTTAAGACTTCATATCTTTGTCGATCTTTTTTTGCCAACTTAGATGCACGCAGATGACTCTGAATTGTAACAGTAGCCCAAACAATTCGTTTATATGCAGCAACAGACTTCACCATCCTTATTCTTGCTTGTACAAATACAACATAGTGTCTTAACTGTAAATATCTTTTCCTAGCAGAGTATCTCCTCCAATAAGCCTGCAGTAAAAAACAGAAAATTTAGTATTTCCTTCATGGTGTCTCAAGTCAAACCTAAATTTGAGGACTAACAACCTCAGATTTTTAAAGATTTCTTTATTCTTACTTAATCCCTAGGAAAACAAGCCCAGCTAAAAAAAAAAAAAAAAAAAAAAAAAGCGCCAAATTCTTGCATCGTTGCTTTTTAAAGCATTTTAAATTCTAGGGAAAAGCTAAATTTGCCCTGGCAACAAAAGGTTCCCTTTTAAACTATTTGATAAATCAGCGATTCTTTAATCTCCAATCCAAAAAGTCTTAAGAATGTAATATGTATTTTGGGTAACAGTGGGAAAAGTGCCTTGAGAAACTGTATTAACTGCCCAACTACCAACTGGTAACTAATGTCTGCCATTTTGGATATGCCCACTGCAGGTGTCATGTGCCACTGTCATAACACTAGAAGAGTAAATTTTATTTTTATTTAAACTTGAAGTAATGCTCAGCAGCTGTGAAGTGGCAAGCCAACACAATTTGATCAGTCCTTACATTGACTGGTTTAAGGCCCAGTGTTTTAATGTTTATAGTATACCAAACTATTCACTAAGAAGGAACACTTGTTGATTTAATAGCACATTACCATTTCTCTCTGAAGAGAAAAATGACTAAAACATTTCAAAAGGTTAAAAAAAAAAAAAAAAAGTAGTAGTATTACATTTCATGAAGACATCAGTTGCTGCAAGCAGAACTAATGACCCTGAGCAAGCCTTTTTCTTACAGGTTTCAGAGGATTTCCTTGCTGTGCAATCTCACTTTAGATTGCATTACCTGAATGACTGTGGCAGATTTACTTTTGGCTTCCTCCAGTTTTGTGTTTTTCAGATTTAAAAAAATCTTCCTGGCTAAGTATCTTCTCCAGTGCTTCTGGATGAAAACTGCTGCATTTACTTTCTTCAGAATGCGCTGACGAGACAAAAAGTCTATTGCAGATTTCTGAATTATCCGAGCAGCTCTGTCTCTTTCCTATAAAAAGTAAATTTCCACTGAACAGTTAGGATTGGAATTTTCACTCAAATTCTTGATGTATTAAAATAACTATCTAAAGCAATCTCATAACAACTAGGCTTGTTGTACCACAGCTTTTCTTTAGTAAAAGAACTTTTCCAAGACATTTATTTCAGCACCAAATTCTTTGTAAAAGGGTAGTATCACTTAAATCTGCATCCTCATAAATCATCCATCTTCATAGTTCTTTCTCTTTGATACCCAATTTTTCAGCACTCCTAAGCAACTCATTTTTAAGCCTCAGTTTTAGTTCTCATTCATAAGATTTTAAGATACCCTTACTAATGGAGCACACTGGAATGCTTTCTCACTATATCTGAATAATTTAAGAGTATAAAGCTAGTCATACCAGCTCATGTCTGTCTAGCCCTGTGTTTTGTTTGCACATACCAACCAGTTTTTATATAGTAAACCAGAGTGCAGCAACAAACTGATGTACAAAGTAAAAAGCAACTAACAAATATAACACATCGATATTTAGACCATTTTGTCAGAACGTTACTACAAGCCTATCTTACTACAGGGCAAAGTACATATGTGCACACTGTAAAATTAAATAAAAACATAATGCCTGCAATGCTATGGGGTTTTGTTTCTGATTCCCCTTCCCCCTACCAGCATCTTTAATATTAGTTATTTAAAAACAGTTATAAAGGGAATGTTTTGTCATCATCAAGGTTGTGTAGCTTTCATAAACTGGAGATGAAAATACCTACATAAATATAACCTCTGCTCCCTTCTACACCACAGATTCTTAGGATATTTCTCTTGGACATTGTCCAAACATCAAATAATATGTATCTCGGTTAGAGACAGTGGTAGCATTTATCAAACTTAATGGTGTCATAGTTTTAAAACCATCACAAGACCTAGTATAAGTACCAGAAAAGCAAGAAACAAAGTATTGGAACTCATGAGGTTCAACTCAACACACTGGTGAAGTTTAGCTCCCGAACAAAAACAGTAAACCCATGCAGAAGTTTAATTACTCTTTTCATCTTGTAGACACTAATATGAATTAAAAAGTAACTATTCCCTTTTTATTTTAAAGGAAGGAGTGTAGCTAATTTATATTTGAAATATTGGGAAGAAGGCTTAAGGGATGACATGTTCTAATCATAACACAAAAGAATAGTAGCCTTTAAACAAATGTAATTACTTTGGAATAGTCTTAAACAAAAGTGTTTTTTAGTAGATTACACTACCAAGAAGGTCATACATTTTGATAATAAAAATGGTAATCATTAATTTAAATGCCAATATTATTCTAATAAACCTGTATACTACAAAGAGTGAAGTTATAATCTTTATTTAGCATTTCTTAAAGTAGAAGCTATGAATATTGCACAGGCAGAGAGTACCTGAGTAAGTTTCTGTTCCCTTTTCAGCCTGTAATTCCTCCAAGCAGACTGAATTAACTGTGCAGCTCGAGTTTCTTGCCGGAGATCAAGAAGCCGTGAACACAAAAATGATAGGTAGGTAATAACAACCTATATACAAACACAGAAAGTTAAGGGATCTATGGAAGAGCAGGACACGTTTGCAGGAGAGCAGAACATGTTTACGTCAACTCTAAAGGCATCTTACTTTCTCATCAGGAATTGTATTTGACATGTCCGAGTGATGGATCATTGCTGGTATTCCACCTAGGTCTGAAACTGCAGCATTGATCAGCTGGAAGTTTCTCCTTTCATTGTCCAAGAGTTCCTTGTATATGACTGAGGCAGTTAGAGCTTTGCAAAGAGAAAATATTTGTCAAATCAAATTGTGCATAAAAGAAATGGATTTAACATGAACTTTTGTGCATCAAATAACTTACTTTCATCAAACATTCCTCCCATAACATTTAGAGAAGTATCAGACTCTGAAGAGGATGAGGAGGAAGAGTTTAGTCCCACTGTATGAGTTCTTGAGCATTCTACTGTTTGAGTTGTACGTTGGCACACAGCTTCCAAAGGCATGTAACATGGATGATAATGATGAATCAAATGACATAATACTCTACCATCTGAGAAACACACTGTGAAATTTTCCACCTGTTAAATAAAATCCAGTAAGATACAAGTTCCTTGAATTTTTGTTACAAGTTAATTGGTATAAACTGGATATAGAATGTTATCTTGTACCTTTAAAAGTGACCAAGCGCAATTTTTTTTAACAAAAAAAGCATATATAGCTAGTGCTTCCTTTGAACATTCACTGTACAGTGACATACAGCTGTGAGAAACCAGAAACAAAGAGGTGTGAATCACTATACAGTGAATCTCCAAGGGAAACATTTAAGAAACAAAAAAGTAGGCAATATTTTTACAGAAGGATCCCAAAGAAACTTCTATAGATACCTTTACACCAGGTATTCAATGCAGAAATAAGTTCTGAACTTGCATCAGTCTTAAGGACTCTATTTCACCCTTCAGAAAAACTAGCAAGTCTGTCTGTATGACCAGAGACAAGTCTCAGAACAGGGCTTCTCTTCTAGGAAGGAACAAACAACACCTCCTTTCTCTAAACAAACATCTTTGAGGAGAGGAATTCCCCTTATCCCAAACATCAGTTTAATTCTCACTATTCAGATAAATGGTAAAAGTTTTATGCACAAATACTTGTAGGATGAATGCTCATTAAATATAATACGAACAATACCATATTCCAGCAAAAATGTATTTTTAAATGGCATTTTTATGTGTAAGACTAACTAGGAGGGGAGATCCTTTTTCTCTAATTTGTTTAAAAAGAGAGCTGCAGCTAAATGCACAGAAAGATGGTTACTTCAAATCAGGTTAAACAAAGTCCAGAACTATATTTAAAACTAATTACCATTGGCTGCTACTACATATTTGATAGTTTGAAGAACTTTGCTCTACAGATTGCTGATAAGAATAAGCATTCTTATGACAGCAAAGGATGTATTTGCCAAAATATACACAAAACTATTTATTTACCTTGATATTGTAAAATGCACAAACAGCATTAACCCATGCCATCAGCAGCTTCACATTTTCACTGTAACTTTGACATGAGGAGTTACTACTATTATCTTCTCGTCTTCTACCACAATTTGGAAAAGTCTTGAGAGGACCCAATTGTGTCTTCCTCTTGTGTGCATTCTTTAAAAACTCGATTTCTTCTTTTAACTGTTCCACATTAAGAAAAATATCCACCTATTAGGAAGAAAAAAAATTTATTTATGTCACCAACAGTCTGACATGTCATGCATAACAGCCGGTGGATGCAGAGGCTTTAGATAGGTCATTTTAAAGAGAAACTACTCTCACTGCTTAGCAATACCTGCCACATTGAATCAGTAATGAATAATGTGGACTTGCCAGCACAGATGGCAATTCCCCATTACTGCTTCAGATAAAAGAACCTAAACCCACACTCCCACTGTTCTGTGTAAAACAGTTACTTCATTTAGTTAATAGCTGGGGGAAACAGGGCAATGCCCTGTTAAACAGCCTGTGTAATCTCACCATACTTTCAGAGGAAACAGCAATTTCAGAGTCTCGCTCTCATTTCTACTGAGTCCACATAGCACTCCTCCTCATTTAAGGGATGCTGATGGGACTTAAGCTGGTGGTGTGATGGTGTGAGAAGATTTGGAGAACAAGTAGCATATCCACAGGGCTTAAAGCCACTGCTCATAAACTTATGTCTTTAATCAAAAGCAATGCAACTGTGATACATGCATCAGGATAATTAACTGAAAAGAGGTACTCAATACTGTAACAACAGATAAGAAAAAACCCACTTAAATTTAATTTATATTATGTTCTTCTGGCTCTGTTAGTTCTGTGGCTAAAGTCATTGAAAATCTTGCTTTAGATATAGTTAATTGTACTTGTATTCCTGACTACTTTATAGTGAAATTCCAACTCAACTTGTATCTTATTTTACCTTTCATACTTTATGTTCCTTCCAAGCAGATGTGTCAGCTGGATACTTATTTTCAAAAGACTATTTGACTGAAGTTAACTCTTAAGAAAACTGTTTTTGCTTCCTCTACTAATTTTTTCCAGTGGCTTTGCCACTGCAGTAATGGCAAATGTACCATTGAAGTAATGCCTCAGCAATCTTCATTTATTTCAAGAATGTTTCTTCAAATTGACTGTTTCAGACAAATGAAAAAAAAGTAGAAGAGCTATAGCTTCAGAGCTTACTCTGTCATTGTTTATCAGTGTAACCTCAAAATGGCCTTTTCAGTTAGTAAGAGCTTAGCAGCATCTTGACACCAACATTATTTTACTTTTAATTATCAGTTCTGTTTGTATACAGCAAAAACTCAGAAGTTATGTTTTTTTCCAAAACCTTGTATGTATGTATATAAGAAAAAGCACAGTTAAAATGTTATCTAAACTGTAGTTAGGAAACAGCAGATTTAGGTAAAGTTTGCATGGCACTTTGAATGTACAAAGCAGAGAATTTCATAATCTAAAATTTGATTAGTAAAGGTTTTCACAGACAATAAATATTCCCAAAATACTGGTGTTTTCATTATTGCTCATTTGTAACTAGTAACAAAGAAACAAAGTAATTGAGTAGTACCTGGAAAGCAAAGACAATTTTCCACAGGAGTGCTAATGTTCGTTCTCTGTGTCTATCCACAATATCTCTGGAGTCAATTGAAGAACCTATCAAATAAAACAAGGAATTAAAATGTGCACTAGTCCTCCGATGCACTTAGAATAATCCAGATTTCTAGACCTTACCACTTTCATCTTTCAAGTGAATTCCTCGCTCTTTAAGGACATTAAGAGCAATGTCAACATTATGCATCTTCTGTAGACGACTTATTGCAGGAACTCTCAGCTGCTTTGAAAGATTCCAGTTTTTGGTGAGAAGTTCCATTGTTCTCCTAACAAAGGGAATTTCACAGTTTAATACTTTGGCTGAACTCATATTAAGTATTATATAAAAGAAAATATATCGTTGAAAATAATTCTGTATCAACGCACACAAGACGAATGCCGCATTGCAAGTCCACAGCCAGATTTGTTACAGCAAAATCAAATTCATCAAGTGGAGTTTGAATATGACTGACAGGTAGTCCTAAGAAAGCAAGATGGCGGGAAAGGTCACCTTCACCACTCAGGAAGTCCCGAGAAAATGCAAGCAGAAGGTCTTTGCTAGCCTAAAAGAAAAAAGGAAGATAATCTTAACACTACAATATTTGTCAAGCCAAATACAATTTTCATTCCTTGCCCCTAAAATTGCATTACATATTTCCATGCCCAGTAATTCTAATTTTTTTAAAAAAATTATTTTTAGCCTGTTCACACAGATGTAATTTTCATTGTACCTGGTGGCTATCATGTTACAGAAAGCACCATCAAACTCAGGAATAATTTTTTCTTACTCTGTCTACATAGTACAAACCCAAGAAAAGTGATTTTATTTGAAAATAACATATTTGTTAATTAAAGCTTTTTTATGACAAATGTAGCATAGTCTTTTTTATCACAGCAAAGTAACAGCAAAACAATGAAAAATCTGCAAAACACACATTTTCTTAACACATGGTGCCCAGAACAAACACAGGATGAGATGGAGATCCAGTGATTTGTGTTGCCTTGGCACCAAGGAACAAGAAGCAAGGTGGAGGCCGCATAGTCCTGTTCTTCCACTTTTCTCAAGGAACATTTGACATGCCTGTGCAGATTTATCTCCTGTTCTTCCTCTTCTCTCAAGGACTGTTTTGCAGTACACTCTGAACACCTTATCTCTCATTCTTCCTTTTTTCCCCACAAAAACAGCGCACACCTCACACCAAGGAATGTGCTGTGTCGTTATTCAAGAGAAAATGCCTTGACCACAGTCCCACCCACTCATACATACATACATAGATAAATACTACCCTGAGTTTGTATCTAAGGTGGAGGGAGGATAATCTGACATCAAGTCAGAGGGACAGATCGACGGGTTTGTGCTCCTCACCCGCCCCAAGAAGGGACACCTTCTGGTAAGATTTGGGCCCTCAGCTACGCTAAGTGTTTACCTGGGAATTAAGTGTGTGGGATTGCAACTAGTTTTCTGTGTGTAGTGCTATGTAGCCAATCTGCAGTTTAGTGCATTTATCATAGGCAATCTCAAAGAATCTGTAAATGTTGCATAAGAATAAACTGTACTATTCATGAACCCGACGGCTTCTCTTGAACGCAACCAGACCTACAGCATATGGGCTGTTCGTGCATCTGGTGTCAGGTCTATAGACACGGGCCCCAATTGGCATATCTATTAAGAGATAAATCCAGCTGCCCCTAGGCCCTCTGATCTCTGAGGATCGGCTAGAACACAAGGGGATTCATCTCTTACCAAATTAATTCATTACCTTAAATGCAACACATGACTATCAGATGATGTGTTGAGAGAATGTTCATGCAAAAGGCTGAAGAGCCAAGACTTGTTAAAGAACAGTACATAAATTTAAAAAAATTAAAATTTCTACATTAAGTCTTAGGACAATATTGGAGGGAGACATCAAATCGCAGATCTCTTACCTTGAACTCTGCATCCTTACAAAAGAGGCAAGGGTCATGGTCAATCATTCTGGACTGTTTAGCACAATCCAGAAAGCAAACTAACAACAGCAATTTTTTCAGCGTGAATTTTGACAAAGCTTCTTCATGACCTAAAAAGGTAGAACACATTAAGTAATAGTTCAGAAATTAAGTGTGAAAAATAACCTATTCTTGGAAGTAGTAGTTACCTTCTCGGTAAAGGTGAGGCACAGTGGGATGTCTGTATTCAGCTGCAATGTCAGGGTTCCAAAGCAAGCGATTAAGGATAAATATTGCTAAACTCATAACATCACTATTACTCTCCAAAGCTATCAGTTCTCCATAGACAGTCTAAGATGAAGGGAAGAGAAAAAAGCAGAATCATTAAAAATTACTTTAAATACTACGAGAGTTTTTTGAATAACATACTACTGAAATCCTTAAGTAGTAAATGGTAATAAGGCTCTAAAAATAAATCGGTTTTTCAAATCAGTCACTGCAGGATCAAACCAAAGGAAATTTCAGAAGACACAGTCTCATTTCAGAGCACGTATGATCATCTGCATCTGAAGAATCATTCAGGAGCTTCCTTAAAACAACTGTATTTTTCTCCAGTTTAGTGAAAAGTGAAACTGATGGCAAACTGCATTTGTGTTAATGGTCACGAGTTAACTTCCAGTTTTCTTGATTAAATATTTTCCTTTTTAATAAGGTAAGCACTTTTTTAAAGCAAGTCGGTTGTAATAATTTAAGAGATGTAAATATGCTATAACTGAAATGAACCTACCTGAATTAGAAAACAGAAACATTCAGAGAAACCCAAAACATCCCCTTACCAAGACTCAAAATTGCTAGATGTCCTTTAAACTTCGATTACAGACCATGAATACTGCACTTACCTCCAGACCTATACGCAGCCACAAAGGGTTGTAAGATAAAAGCCAGTTAAGGACTTTCTGCCTCTCTCCTGCAAGAGAGCAACTTGTAATGTTACATCCAGCAAACACTTCATATCATAGCAAAAATTTCTATCAACAAACTTTAGATTAAATCAACTCAATGTGTGAATAATCCTTTTCCTACTTACAAGAAAAAAGAGAGGATGCAAATTTTAGTATTCTTACCTACATCTTTCCAGAGGTGTCTGTCTCTACGAACTAGCAAACGTCTAGTTTCAATCTCAACTTCCAGCTTCTTAATAGCTTTAACCATTGCTTCAGATGTAAACAAACGGCAAGCATCACGTCGTAACTTATTGAGCTTACGATGAGCTGTATAAGCTTTTAGAGATGCTTCATCTTTTGTTGGTGCTTTAGGAACACTGCTTTTATGATGGTTCTCTTCTCCCAAGATAAGAGCAGCTGCATTAACTGTTTAAACGCACACAGAAAGTATGCATTTATACGTCAAATAAAAGTAGCTTTGCCCATGTTTTTCCTCTCTCAGTTCACATTTTGTTATTTTCCTTCTGACTGATGATTTTATCCCTCGGGAAGCTTATCAGCTGTTGCACTAAAAACATACTGTCAAGTACAGTCAAATATTTAATATAACAATGCTTATTTCTTAAGCGAGCAGTGCTAGGAATTCAGGTTTAAAATCAGTTGTACCATCTTCAATTTGTCAGGTAGAAGCTGAAAGTAGGAGTGCTGCAGCCACACGTTCTAAGATGTATTTCTTGTTGCAGAGCACACTGCCCATTCAGGTGTGTGGTATGCTGTGCCTGGCACGATCGAGTGTGCCATCCACATATCACAAGGGAAAATATGACTCTGAGAAGGGTTAGAGGTTATAAAATTTTGTTGTAATGGACTGCACTGTCTCCAAGGTAAGAACTGATTTTGGTTTAGCACATTCCCTATTTTCTAGCATAACCACCACTGAAACACATTACCAAATATTTGGTTTATGGTTATCACAGTGTAAAGTCAAAGGCTGAAAAGGGAAATGCAGGACACATAAAAATTAAAACTTAAAAATCTATGTTTACCTAGGAGCTTAATGTTACACAAACTAAAGTGACAAGTTGGGACTAGTGTTAAGCCAGTGCTACTCTTCACTAATATTAATGAAGTACATTATGTAACATTTAAGAACATTAAAAGACAAAGTGAAAATTCTTGTACTCTTACCTTGTGAGGTGTTTGTTTTTACACTGAAGTCATCAGGGGTAAGTACAAAATTTAACCACCAGGTGAAACCTCGTTGCTGCTTCTCCTTCCAACGTTCATCATAAAACATGTTTTTAGCAGCAAAAGGCATTGGGTGCCTAGGGATGACTTTAAAGAAAGAAAGTAAGTCTCTGCAGTTTTTGAAATGTTTGATAACCAATATACATTTCATTGCAGAAAGGATTAACGTTTGACATTCCATTTAGCACTAGAGCAGAAAAAAGCAGATTGTTAGAATCTCCAGCAACTTGCAGATCAGCCACCATTAAATAAATTTCAGCCACAAAACACAGATTAAGAAATTAAAGCACTAGAACAAAACCAAGATTTCTAGAACCCAGGCCATTTTGCTATGCAAATCTTGGGGCAAAACAAAGTTGAGCTGGATTACACCCAGAAAGAACAATTTTATAAATGCTTTTTTCTGATCAGATCAACTTAGTATTATGAGCTCTGCAAAATTAGTTATCTTTTTGGTATAAAGTTTTCTCTTCTTAGGTATTCTGTTGTTGTATTAAAATGTTACCAGATATGGAAGAGGCATTTCACTATAACCATCAGTCAGCTAGGAACATATCTTTAATGTAGTTTTTACACTGACAGGCAAAACTAGAGGAAAGTAACATTTACCTTCAGCTGGCCATGGGTTGCAACCAATTTTCACATGAGGAGTCAAAATGGAACATGAAAGTTTACATATATTTTTCTACTAGATATTGATTCATTGTAGATACAATCTTCTAGTTCATCATAACTCTAACCAGCTGGGTCTTACCAACCACTAGCAGTACAACAATTGTGACAGTGTATACTGTTTTACTAAATACAGAAGTCTGCCTACCTGTTTTCAGTGGTTTCACAAATGTCAGGTGAGACTGAGCCAATCCAGGGATGGGTTTACTAATTCTGTTGGTAGTTTTAGATGCTTTCTGAAGTGAAGAACCTACAGACATTAACATACAAACATCAACAACAAATATACTTGTGAAAGTTAATGTATTAAGGTTTATATTACTTATAAAGCATAGTACTGGAGTAATTCCCTGTAAACCCATACAAAAGACCAATAACCTTCTGTTGATGGAAAAAGTTAAGCTAACCGGTTTGACAACAGTTAGAAGGAAAAAATAGTTAAGACTAAAAAAGTGCTACTGTTCATCCATATACTAAAGAAATGTACTGTTTGCAAATCATTATCATATGGCTAGAAAAAGCCATAGTGAAGAAACACTTCATCAGAACATGTGAAAGTGTATATTCTATAAACATCTGGAGTAAGAGGTATGAATTTTAAGGCTTGACTCACCTCTTCCCACACTTAGATTGCATACTACATTGATACTCATTTCAGAGCAGTCTAACTTGTGTTAGTTTAGGCATCATGCATTAGCTATTAAGTATTATCCACCGTGTTGCAGTAAAAGGACTTAAAAACACAATGAAAAAAATGCAGATCTAGGCTTTCTGAACTCCGAACACATAAAAATACACACTTTTATTGCAATAATTTTGTAATGTTGGCATCAAGTGAAGGATTAAAAAGGTATGCTGTTGCAGATGAGCTATAGTTGCTGCCTGACACCCCCTGCCAAGATGGTAGTTCAGAAACAAAAAAAGATAAGAGATCACAAATGTATAGGTTGCACTCTCCTGCTTAGCTGAAGTAGAGTTTTTCATAGAATTTTCACTTATAGAGAAGTGAAGAAGTCATTCCAATCTCTCATGCACTTCTAATAAAATTTAAATACATTCTGACAATTTTTAATAGTTGAATCTCAAAAGGATTAAATTAATGATGGGCATTTCAAAGTTAATTTTTAGTAGTGAAATATTTTCTTTGTGAAGCCTACAGACAATGCCTGTGCAATTGAAAGAACAGGTTTTATTTCTCAAGAAAACTTGTGATGAAGAATGTAACTCAAAGCTGTCATTATTAGGATTAAGAGATACCAAAGTCACTTTGAGTTCACAGAATATTTCCTTGTCCATCCCAGCTATCTTTACCCTAACAGGTGAACAGAAATAACTTGGTAGATAATACAGCTTTTCCTGATGAACACTAACACTGTTAGTGTGTACATAGACTATCTTTAAAAGCCTGAAATCAAAGTGCGCTACTGCAAGCCCCAAATCAAATTTAGATCATGGAACAGATCATTTGAACTGAAGAAAACAGAATATATTATTTTGATCTGAAAGCCATGATGATTTTTTTGTGTTAGTTAAACTTCAGGGACTGCATAAAGATTCTGCAAATTAAATGCTTCTTTCAGTTACGGACCCTCATTCCAGAGCATATTTGGGAACGTAACATTTAGAAAACCCAAAATGCATTGAAATACAAGAAGTCGACTACTTCCAATCTTCAAGCAACAAAATATAGGCAATTTATACAGGCAGAAAGATCTACACAAGGCTGACAAGCTAATTACAGAGAGCAAAAAGCAGGCAGAGTGAATGAGACTTGGAAACTACACTTTTGAAAACGTGACAACAGCAATGGAGTCAAGTATTCATAATGTTAAGTGCACATATGTGACTAAACTCATGCAGTGAATAAGTTTCTAGTAAATTTGAATTACATAACAAGGGCTCTGCTGGAGAACTGTCAGATACTTTCCCTGTTACTGTCATTAACAAGGTTTACAAAAGAATAAAGTAAATTTGAAGCCAATTATGTAACCAAAACTCTTACCTAGTTTTCAAATTTTTAAATTGTAGATATCTAACAAATTGCAAAGGTCCACATTTCAGAGACATGAAATATTCCCAATTGTTGCTAAACAGTTCAGTTTGCTATAAAAATTTAATTATCAAAGGCATCTTTCAGAAAGTGGTAAATGAAGGAAATAACTGCTCACCAGCTTTCCTTCGCTGCCCTACTCTCTCTCGGTTTGTGGGTTTGAAGGCTGATGGTCTCACAGTAGTATGTGTTTTATTGTTCATGCTAGATGTAAGAGTTCTTTTTCTTTCCACTTCTTCCACAGACACTGGAGCTGTAACTCTACTGTTTTCTACATATATTTCACTCTTCCTCTTACGGCACAAAGAAGTTGACCCAGTAGGAGATGAATTCACTTTGTCATTCTGACACTTATTTTCAGCTGAAATGGGACCTATAACTGGAAGGTGCTTAGATAGTTCTGCTTTTGTACGTACAGGCACCACGTTAACACATTCCATTATTGCTTTATTAAGGCATTTTTTAGATTTTGGGTGGAGGGTTTCCATTCTTTTTTCTTCAGCAGCATCAGGCTTATTTTTTATGATGGTGGCAGAAAGGACCGGACGCTTTTTTGATTGCTCTCTCCGAGAAGAATTTTGAGTCTGAAGTCCCTCTGTAGAAGGAAAACTGAAGGGATTTTCTTTGGGTTTGTCATAATGAAGTACCTGTGATTCTACATTATGCACCTCAAAGACTTCATTTAACTTGTGTTGTATACAACCATGTGGTTTTACCTCTACATCTCCATTATTTTTCCATTTTGAAGGTAAGAAATTTTTTACAATGTAAGTCTCTGCAGTAGATGATATTAAAGCTGCCTCAAGTTTAGGAGTCTTTAATTGCTTATCTGACAAGCTGTCTTTCACAAATTGATCAGGTGACAGAATTGGAACAGCCTGCTCTATTATATCTATACCCACTGGATAACTGTCATTTACAAAAGAATCTGGACTTAAAATTCTCCTTGTACTTAAAACAGGCACAGATGCTGAGTGCTCTGGAGTGCAAACTGGTGAGAGTGTACAATTAAGAATTACTTCATTGTTTGAACTTGGCAGTTGTGCTAATCCAATAGAACTGTATTCACTTTCAGATTTTAATTCACTGTGCTCATTAAGAAATTTCTTGACATTACAGCTGTCTATTTCAGGCAATAACTCCTCATTTACAGTGGCGGCAATATCTGAAAAAGTAGTAGATCTTCTCATTGCTAGTGGTGTGCAAGCAGTATTATGATGTTCCTCTAGCATTGGTGCAATAGGAGATATAGGCAATTTATTTTCTGAGCCAATGAGAGAGTCATTTCCTGGGGATATACTATTTTGCACTGAGTTCTGATTGTCACATGGCTGCAGTGGGCTTCTAAGCCTATCCACCTTCTGGGAAACTTGAAAGGTTTTATTAACATTTTTAACTTTCAAAGTACTTTTTTTCACTTTCATTGAAGCAGGTGTTTCTGACGAGTTTTTCTTTTTTATAGTATCCCAAAGACTCTTCTGAAAAAGAACCATAAATAAAAGTTAGTATGTTGACTTTCTACGTACTTCTAGGTGTAAAAGTGAACATTACTAGTGCATTAATTCAAAGTCTAAATATGGTATAAGAACATCTAGTCCAAAATTCACAGTAAGTTATTTCCAGGCTTGAAACCAGCTTTTTTGTTCATGTTTTAGTTTTATTCTCTAATTTGCAATGCACTGGTATCTAATTTTCAACCCAGCTGAAAAATTTTGAAGATGCTGGGCTTTCCCACAGACAGCATCATTTACCATTGAATTTTCTACTAATAAAAACAGTAGCTGTGTCCGCTATACCAAAGTAATAGAATTAAGATACATAATAAACACACACTCACTTTTTTCTTCAGAGGCTGCTCAGCAACACCCAGGAGTACAGCTTGATGCTTTACAATGCCATTAATAATAAAAGTTACCAGTTCTCTGACTTTTCCTTCCTCTAACGGTGTCCATGTTACAGAAATAAAGATTCTTTGTCCTGACTGTAGGAGAAAGAAATATTTAAGATCTAGCACTTCGGTACACTTATGTAACATCAGTGACAGAGTAATCAAACCAAATGAGAAGTGGTATACATTAGTACCATATTCTGACAACAGGAAATGATAAACATGTTAAACACTTCGATGTCAATTTTCCCCTCAGACATATAAATTTAAGCAACCTCTTATCAAAAATGTTGTCATACTAAAAGGGCATATAACTCTTAAAGGGCGTACACCTCTTAATGAAACTACAATGGAAAACAAGAACACTTACAAATATAACACAGATCAGAGAGGTCAAGGTTTGAGTAGAGGTAAGAAGACGTTACATAATTTTTAAAACTTATTAACCAAATAAGTCCTCTGAAGTAATTTTGAGTAATATTTAGACAATCAGTGGTTAATTTCTAGGACCCGAGCTGAATCTAAGTAAGTGTCACATTTTTGTCAAATGACCTGCAAAAATGAGATTTCACACAAGAGTTCATTGAACAAAAATGAAGACACTGCAAACGAACAAGAAAGTCCCGGAGCTATGGATTTACACCTTTGGTGTAAAGGTTCTTCACGCTCAGTGACCTCTACCAAATAATTTCGGTGCTCTGCTGATATCAATACTAACAGAGCAAAGAATGGTTGTTACCTCCAAAAAAAATCAAAGACAGTGTGATAACCAATCTCTTCAACACTTGATTTAGGAGTTCCACCTCTTCAGGCAGATGCACTTAATGTAAACATACAAACTAATTTAACATGTGCTTATACAGTAAAGCCAGTCAACAATGGTTAATATTCATTAATTGCTATAGGAACTTGTTATTCAAATACTTCACAGCGATGCTCCGGCCTGTTTTTGTAAGCCCATCGTTGCAAGAGATCTCCAGAGCTTCTTCCTCTCTCACAACGACTCCGGAGAGTCTAGACAACCAGATACGTTTATTTAAATTGTCCTTTTAAAAACCAGCATCAATTGGATTAACCGTAGTTTATATTTCCTTGGTAATCGTAAAGGTTTATTCCTAGAGTAAGCCTGCTTTTCTGTCTGCTGTATTACTAACATGCAGACCAATGAATTGGCATCCTCCTCAGAACAAGTTCCCTCATCCTTTTTGTTAAACAGATGTCCTCCAATTTTTTGAGAGATCATGTTTTAAACACCTCTTACTTTTCTGTCTCTGTCTTTAAAACCACGTTCCCAGGAAACGATTTTTTTTTTTTCACCTTGCTGCAGAAACCCCTCTGCTGCGCCAGGGTTTACCGCCTCCGCAGCCGGTGAGAGCTCCGCGGCTCCACCCCCGGCAGCTCCAGCTCCGCCCCGCTACGGCGAGGCCGCACCCGCACACCCACCC